CACCTTCGTTGTTTCTGCAGGTAATAGTTGTTGGTTTAAACTCACTTCACATATAATTGACTTTTTTGTAAAACTTCCTACATTTATTTTGGTTATTCATGGTTTCCAGATCTTCCAGTGATTTCTCAAAGAAGGCTTTCTTTCTTGCTTTATGTAGTTTCTTTTCTATTCTTCTCAGGTTCTTATATTGTTCTTCAAAGAAACGTGTGCGATGTTTCTGTAACATTAGTCTATATGCCTTATTTTTTTCCTCAGTTGCCTTATGGCAATCTTCATCGAACCATTCGTTTTTGGAAGGACACCCCAGTTCTGTATCACTTGCAGATCACTTGCTTATCAATAGTATCACTTGCAGATTTCAAGACAATGTCTTTTATCGTATTCCAGTTAAAAACAATGTTCGGTCTTCCTTTTTCTTCAGAAAGTCGGTTGGATAGCTTGATGTTATACTCTTTAAGAATTTCATCGTTTTTCAGTTTAGAAATGTCAAGTTTAAAGTCCTTGTTTTCCTTCTTTTGATAAAAACTTTTACAGAGTCGAAGTCTCACTTTGGACACGACGAGTACATGGTCTGTATCTACATTTGCACTCCTGCAGCTTCTCACATCAAGTACATTGCTGCGGTGTCTCTTGTCCACAAGTAGATGGTCAATTTGATTATGTGTAGATCCATCTGGGGATCGACAGGTGTGTTTGTGGACTTCGTTATGTGGGAATGCTGTGCTAGAAATAAACAAATTCTCTGAGACTGCAAGATCAAAGAGTCTCTGTCCATTTTCACTGGTGTAGTAGTGCAGGCTGTCAGCGCCAGCGTGGTATCTATGTTGCTCTTTTCCAATTTTAGCGTTGAAGTCTCCGATAACGATCTTCATGTCTTGTGCTGGGCACGAGTTAATGCTTCTCATCAACAGGTCATAGAAGATATCTTTTTCAGAAGCATCTTTTTCTTCAGTTGGTGCATGAGCACAGATTAAGGTGGTATTGTAATGTTTTCCTTTTAGCCTGATTTTACAGAGTCTCATGCTAATAGCCTGGAAGTCGATGACCGTATTTCTTAGTCTTTTGCTCATGACAAAACCTACACCGAATTGGTGAATTTTGTCCTGGCAACTGTAGTATATTCTGCAATCCTTTTTATCCATAATTCCATTGCCCAACCATCTGATTTCTTGGATTGTGAGGATGTCAAGTTTGTAGTCAACAAATACATCTATCAGGCTCTTTAATGCTCCAGCTTTATACAAGGTGCGAATGTTCCATGTTCCAAATCTCAAGTCCTTTTTCGTTCCGAGTCGTCTGGGTGGATGTGAGCCGGGTTTTGCATTTTGTTGAGGTTTCTTAACTTGAGTTTTTTTTCCAGGGTGGGGTAGTTAGGCCCATGCCCAACCCCCAACCTGGAGGACTAGGGTGTTCCTCTTGGTCTGGTGTCTCCCCTCCGACCTGTCCGGCTTGGGTGACCCTGCCGGTAGCTAAGCTACCGCCGGCATAGCTCTCGGGATCGACAACACATACAAACCACACCAACACGATAAGGATTTTACAATTAGTCAATCAATTTAACTGGAATAATCTTTACATTGTAAATATAACTAAATAATACTCAATTGATAATACAGTAGAGAACCGATTATCCGGAACGATCGGGACTATCGCTATTCCGGATAACTGATTTTTCCGGTTTTCTGAATCGCTACAAAAAGCCCTTTCTTAAGTGTTAAACCCAATTAAAAAAAAAAATATTTGGAAATAATCTT